AAAGGGTTTTATATTTCTCATGCAATATGAGAATTGAATTCTCACAAAAAGCATGTGGGATCATATGTTAGAAAAAATTATATGTAGAACCTACGTTGGCATGGAAATCGAAGGGTGTGTAGGAAAATTCAAATTCTCATGTTAAATGAAAATTATAAAACCCAATAATAAATACTTCACTTTTTCTTCCACTTTGTCAGAGCTTCCTGTTCTAGTAAAAATATTATTTTGTAATTTTTCTTATTGTTATTCTGGAAGGTGCTAAACGGGTTTATTTGAGGTGAAAAAGTTTGCCAATTTATAATGATGTTTCTAAATTATTAAGAACCTCACTTGTTGGGTTCATTATCCGAATTTTTATTTTATTTTTACAATTTGTTAGAAGATTAAAGTCTCTGGTATTTTTTTTTTTAAAAATATTTTATTTGACTGAATAAATGTAATTTTAATTTATAACATAATAATAGTTAGCTTATTTATGTTTTTAATTTTGAAAATAATAATAATTATTTATATATGATCCTAGTTAATATTTGTATAGAAATGAGAAAGAAAATATAATTTTGGACGGATGGCCGGAGCCCGGAATTGTATCACACAACAGCATCTTGGCGATTCAGCTGGCATAGGTGGTTGTTTTGTAATATATTCATATAAAACAACTCCAAGACTACATAATTGGAAATGCATGATCGGGATCCACTAGGATGCCTAGTGGTGTGGGGTATGTGTTAGGTGTTTGTAGTATAGTGGTGTGTGTTCAATTCCTATGTAATGTAAAAATAAAAATAAAAATGCATGATCGGTAAACTAAATTTATCAGAGCTCGTGTTACGAATTTAGATGTTAATAAATAGGGAAAAATGTATTTTATTTTAAATTATATAAATTGTGTCATTTTATAGACACAAAGAGATGTAAGTTCCAAGGATATCAAAAAAAAAAAAAAAATGTAAGTTTCACTGAAAAAATAAAGAAAAAAAATTAAAATGTGAATCCCATCGCTTTATGTCTATGAAATGATACAAGTTATGTTATTTAAAATGACACACATTTTTTTCTAAGAAATATTTATTAAATAATATTGGGTTTATAAACCTGTTCATCAATTTAGTTTTTTTTAATTTGCCTCGAATAATTGAAAATCGCTTCAAGAGGGCCCGGTAGATCCGTTGTTTGCTTCAGAGTACTGTCACGTTGGCCCAAATCAAGTAAACCGCGTATTGTTTTTTGACTCTCAAATTCCATGGACCATTTAATATATTGCTGGGCTAAGATCTTTTGAGTATGGTGCGAATTTTTTATCACCGTCCGTCTTTCATCATGCACTGTTTGACCAATCTAAGAATTAACATGAAAATTGACTTTAAATGGGACTCAACATGAGATATAGGATTTATAAAGTGAGATGCCTAGTACTTTTGGCATCATATAAACGCAATTCCGTTAAAAAAAAAAAAAAAGGAAAGAAAGAAAGAAAAAAGCACACATACATGGAGAGAGAGAGAAAATTTTCCAAGTAAAATGCCCTGGTTGATAATATGATTTTTTTAATAAAGTATAATTTCTATATTTTTTATTTTTTTATAGTGGTGGTGGGAGATAATTTTTTAACTAAGAAAGAAGGTGACGTTCTCATTTTGATCGTTGAAATCAATGTTATAAAAATCGCCTGGCCAGGTCGACTCAGAAATCGGAACCGGTCAGGTAATCAGTTCGATTTTTATATTGGACCGGCCATGTTACAGAATCGGTACGACCCGATCGGTTTTAATAAAAATCGATGACCCGATCGGTTCAACCGGTGATCCAGCTCGGTCTATATAAAAAAAAACTAATTTATTTTTCTAAATTAATGTCTTCTTTTTTTATTCTCAAACACAAATGATTTGTTTTCTTTTGAAATATTTGAGTAATATGTAACTTATTAACTTAGATAGATTATGTACCTACAACATTAATATTATCTTGATTATGTAATATGCAGATAATTTTGATTTGATTTACAGTTAAAGATGTCATTTACTGAACCTGAAACACTAGTATCACAAATATTATATGTTTGATTAATTTTTTGTTGGACAATGATGTGTAATTTATTATTTTCATATTAAAATATTTGAAATTGGTATATTTTTTTACAAATATTTAAGTATATTTATAATCTTTTTAATATAAATTATAGATTTACATATACTTATTGAGACATGCGGTTAAACTAGTATCCCACTGGTTGAACCAGTGATCCAATAACTCAGTATCTCAACCAGATAAATAACCGAGTCGAATTTAATAACATTCGTTTGAAATACAAAATGAAACGCGTTGAATGAGAAATCCCGCAATAAATTTGTGACACAGCTGCTTTCCTGCCTTGTTTACGCATGATTAGCGTTATACCACACACCATAGTTTCCACTGGACAGATAACGGGGTATATTTGTACCACACACCATAGTTTCCACTGGACAGATAACTTTTTATTTGGGTTTAAATTGAAATTTGGCCTTTCTACCAATTTTTTTTTTAATTTGGCATAAATTATTAAATAAAATAAGATTTAAAATCATAAATAATTATTCTTTGGACACAATCTTTTGGATTACTGAAAATTCTAAAAAATGTTTTATTATTAGTAATGACAATTTAATGATTTATTTGGGAATATATATTTTTTTATAGAGAAATAAAGACAAAGCTAATCATAAAGTGTCTTTATGGATAACAAATTTGTATTTTTGAATTTATAAGAATTTTAAAATATTACATTGTTAATTGTTATTTAATTTAATTCATTTGTTCTTAATTTCAAATTTAATATAATTTATGTATAGTCAGAAAATGAGGTGGGAAAAGGAGAAAAATTTAGGATGAAAGTTTGAACTTTGGAACGAGTAAAAATTACGACGAATCCCGCTGAATATGACAGCTGGATGAATTCTGTGATGGAATGGTATCAACTATCAAGTCTTTAAATTATATTCCTTGAATTGTGTATCGAGTGATCAAATCATATACCTTGCTCATCACCCTCTCAATTAAAACATACAAATAGTTTACCAGAAAAAAATAAAACGTAGAAATAGAATACAATTCAATCATCCTTGGAGCAATCCGAAAGCACATTTATAGTATGAGTTTTATTATTCTCTTTTTATGAGAGAAGTTTAACCTCAGGTTACGGTAAAAAAATTAATTTATTATTTTTTAAATAAAAATTATTAATTTATGGTAATTTTAAAAATAATTGTACATTTATTGCACAATATCACGTCCAATTTGGACGTCATCAATCATGTCTAAATTGGGCGTCAATCAAGAGGCAATCACGCCTAATTTAGGCGTCACTCATCAGATGTTGACACGTGTCACATTTTTTTAAAAAAAAAAATTAACAATTTAATTGTAAAATTTATTAAGGCTATAACTTTTGACTCGGTTATCCAAATCAGGTAATTCTTTTTTTGATTCCACATAACTTTTCAAGATCTACGTAATGACATCTCATTTGACATATTTTATTTCTCACAAGTACAATTTAAATTTGCAAGAAAGGTATTATAAGAGTGGTTAAACCCAGAAGTCTCTGAGTTATGAGTTTGTTATTTAATATAAAGAATAAATCAAGATTTGATGTATGATTTAAATAAAAAAAGTAAAAAAAATTATTTTTATTATAAAAATATTTGGTTTGTGATTTAAATTAAAAATAACAATTATTATTAATAAGAAAAACAAAATAAATATTTTATTTGTGATTTAAACTCAAAAATCAATTTAAAAAATCTGTATTAATAAAGGAAATAATTAAATAAATATTGTAAATCTCTAAAGAAGAAGGATTTTATTTTTGAAAAACATTCATAAGCCATCATTAATTTCAGACCACGAATCAAATCACAAACCCAGTACTCACAGGCTTCTGGGTTTAACAGCTCTTATAATATCATTCTTGCAAATTTAAATTATGTTTGTGAGAAATAAAATATATCAAATGAGATGTCATTGTGTACATCTCGAAAAATTATGTGGAATCAAAAAAAGAATTACCTGATTTTGATACTCAACTCAAAAGTTATTGCTTTCAGAAGTTTTACGATTAAATTGTTAATTTTTTTTTTGGAAAAAAAATGTAACACGTGTCAACACCTGATAAGTGATGCTTAAATTAGACGTGATTGACGCTTGAGTGACGTCCAATATAGGCGTGATTGGTGATGACCAAATTGAGCGTAATATTGTGCAATAAATATATAATTATTTTCAAAACTATCATAAATTCGTAATTTTTTATTTAAAAAACAATATATCAATTTTTTTGCCTAGACTCATCCATTTGAGTTTTTCTTTTTTCTTTTTTCTTTTTTTTTATATGTGCGGTACATTTTTTATTGTCTTTGCTACAAGCTTGAAACTTCTACTATGAAAGGAGAAGTATAAACCCCTTATAATATACACAAGAAGAAAAAATCAATATAGAAAATAATATAGATCAAATAAGAAAAAGTATAACCTACTACATATTCATTTAATAGAAAAAATAATTATCATCATTAATTCAACAAATGTGTGATTTTAATTGTAATAAGGAAAACAATTTCTGAAAATTAATTTAGTAATTATGAGAACTTTTTGGATACTAATGTAATACCCACATTTCATACTAAAAGGGAAAAAAAAAATTGGGATTTAAAGAAAATTATAAATAAAAACTAGGGTGAAAATGGAAAAAAAAAAAATCACTATTTAAGAAAGAAATACGATACTACTAAATGCATTGAAAAAAATTCCCCTATTTATACGTCTGATTGGAGCAAATCAAGATTCTCCCAAATCATTGATTGGTTGTTCATACTAACAAATTAATAGATGGAAATGGGTGGACTATGTCACCGCTTTTGACCCTTTGCCCTATAAGTACGTACCATACACCTCCATTTTTATTGTAACCCTAAGACTTTTGAGTTTTGAGTGTGGTGTAACGAGTGAAGAAAAAAAATATGAGTAGCTTTCAAATGTTGATTGTGTTTCTCTTGGCTCTGTTACTCTGCAATTCATGTGCTCCTGTCTACTCCTACACCACCATGCCCTCTTTCTCAAACCCTGAAGAGGGTGAATACATGATGGACAACGAAGAATACATGGACAGCGAAGCCAAACCATGGACAACACCAGCCAGCAACCAGCATATGCCGCAGCTGTCTCTTCAATTTATGCCAAGCAAGACTCCACAACTGGCGGGATCACCACCACCGGCGTCATTCTTCTTCTCATCACCGCCACCACCATCATCACCACCGCCACCACCGTCGTCATTCCTCTTCTCCTCACCGCCACCACCATCGTCACCACCACCGCCACCGTCGTCGTTCCTCTTCTCCTCACCGCCACCACCGTCACCACGACTGGGTTCATTCTACTTCTTCTCTCCTCCACCTCCTAGCCCTGCTCGTACTCCTAAACTTCCAAGGTCTATGGGCCCGTTAACAATTCCAGCACCACCGTTTCTGCTTGCTTGATTTGGCGTGGCATCACTGAGAGTGCTTCAAAAGGCTTAGGCGCAGAATAAAAGTTATTTTTAACTTATGTCACTCTTTTTCATTTTCCCATTGTCAAAGTAAACTGTTCTAGCAAAAATATTACTTTATAATTTTTGTTAATTGTTATTCTGAAGGTGCTAAATGTGTTCATTTGAGGTGAAAAGTTTGCCAATTTATATTGAGGTTTCTAAATTCCAAATACCTTTACTATATTTTTTAGCAGTAGGATGATACAAAAAACCAATAACAATTATTTTAATTTTTGAAAACTTCAAAGATTGTAAAATAGTAAAGTATGCCGGTAAATAATTTAAAAAATGCCCACTTTCTAAATTATAATACAAAATGGATCACTTGATACCAATTCATATATCTTTGTGTAAACTATAAATAACTTGATACCAATTCATAAAATATAGAAAACTGATTATTTGAATAACAATTCATGGATTATAGAAAGCTATTTTAATCTTCTCATCTATTGCTTTATCCGTTTAACTATCCTCTAAAATTAGGAAGAGATACGCGACTTGCTTTTCCAGATTTTGCAATATAGACTTTGCAAAGGCATTATCTGTAAAATAAATTTAACAAATTTTGGGAACAAGACTATTGTGTCATCATTTTACAAAAGATACGCCAGAATGGCAAGACCTGGGAAATATAGCTCGCGGTGTCAGATTTGAGTCCTATTGGCGTCATCGGCGTGATTGGTTTTTTCCACGTGACTCAATAGAAAACACTGAGTCAAATTATAATTTACATATATTTATTAACAATATTAATAAGAATTTTATAATTGAATATTTTCTTTCCTAACCTAAAAAAAATCTCATATATAATTATTTATTGTGGTAAATTAACAATATTTACATTTTTTTTTTAAAATTATAAATTGATATTATTTCATTAAGTTAAATAATATTTAGAAACATAAATAATTTTCATTTGAGCTTAATCTTTTAAAATTCCCAAACATTCAAAAAAATTAAATTTATTATTAAAGAAAAATCAATAATTATATTGTTATTATAAGCATAATTATCAGTATCGTATGATAAACGATGCGATTCATACGATAAGATTCACAAGCATAATGATATGTAACGTAGGGTGTATCGGGAAGGGGTTTAATATCGAACGATATGATACTGTATTGTACTGCACAATACGTATCGTGTACCATACCATACGAAAATCTATATATATATATATATAAAGGAGAGTTCAATGTTGGAAGCTTTTGCCATGTGTTACTCCCTGCTTAATTCTGAGATTTCTGTTCACACTATATGGCACCTGCAAACTTTCCTTCTTTGGTAAGTTGGAAAAAGTTTTTTCTTCTAAAAATCGAAAATCAGTTTTTAAATTCGAAAAAAATAAAACAATTGTGGTGGCAGACAAGTCATTGAATGTCCCATTGGAATTGGTCATCTGATTTAATTGCTTTTTACATTGGAAATCTAAAATTTAAATTTTGAAATGGAATGACTCAGCTGTTTTAATTGCTTATTGCTCATCTGATCTAAAATTCGAATTTTGAAATGGTTTCAAATTTTGAATTTAAAATATGGATGGTGGGAAAAGATTTGGAGAGTTTTGGGTGGCATTCATTTTGTATAAATAGAGAAGTTGTGTTTCTTATTTTTTTTAGCTTGCCTACGATTTCTTTCTTCATTTCTATTTGTAGGGGTTGTTGTGTTGGTATTATTTTTTGTTTTCTTTGGCTTTATCCGATTCGTTTCATATTTTAATGGAAGGTCATTCTTCTGCAAACGTGCCAGGATTGAGGAAGGTGTTTGTTGATCTTTGCAATGTTATTTTCTTATAAACAAGACGTAAATAATCTTTTTTTCATTTTGTAGGGATGAAGGTTTCGTCGTATTTCATTCTGTGTGGTTCTTGCTTACATTTTTTTTCTTCGTTCATATGTATAGCTAATGTTATATTATTATTATTTTTGTTTACTTTATAAACAAGTTGCTATGAATTAGTTTTCATTTTTTGTATACTAATTCCCTTTTTTTCGTTTTGTAGGGCATAAGGTTTCGTTGTATTTCAAGTTGTGTGGTTCTTGCCTACATTTTTTTCTTCATTCATATGTGTAGCTAATGTTATATTATTATTATTATTATTGTTTACTTTACAAGGAAGTTGTTATGACTTAGTTTTCATTTTTTGTATACTAATTCTCTTTTTTTCATTTTCCAGGGCTGAAGGTTTCATACTACTGTGATTAGTTATTTACGTAGTAAACGCCCTGAATGCTGCATAATGCTTTCCTACGTTTTTTTGCTACCCGATACAAAAATTGAATGATAATCAATGGACTAAATGTCAACGGGTGAAGAGTTTAAAATTTATCTGCATCGAGGGTCATTCTTCTGCAAACGTGCTAGGATGGAAGGGTTTGTCGATCTTTGCAATACTACTGCAAAAGTTGCAAGGATTTTTTAAGGCTTGCTGGGGATTTTTTTTGTATTTTGCGAGTTGTGGATATATTTTCTTCGTGCTTGATAATTTAAGAACGTCTGTGATGACGATTTGGGATTATTATTTTTTGCTGTTGTTGAACTATATTTACAAATTAATCGTTGAAGCTGTTCTTGAATATTTTTAATTTGTGAGATGTTATGCTGCATCTGTGTGGTGTTCAGTTATGGTGCATGATGTTTGAATTTGTTATAATGTAAATATTGGAATTTGTTGATGTTGTTGTAAAGCCATTTGATGCTTAACAATCATGTATTAGGCATTTTCGTTGAGGTTTAATTAATATAAATATAAAGGTTGCACTTAAACAATGTAAGATAAGATAAAATTTCAATTGTTGTCCAGTATTTAACGCTCCGCGTTTCAGTTTATTCGAGATTTCAATATCAAAAGAAGGTAAAAGTTTTCAAGCTTTTCCAATTTTTGTTGAAACTGAAAAAAGAAATGATTTTTATTAAAATACAAATATTATGAATCTTGGGATTTTGTTGCATGGGAAAGGATTTGAAAATAAAAAATTAAATAATAATTTCTTTTAAAAATCGAAATAAAAAATCAAGTTAAGCATTTATGGTGGCAGACAACTCATTCAATTTCCCACTGATTTGTACATTGAAATTACTCAGCTCTTTTAAATGCTTTCTACAGTGAAATTGTTCACTCTTTTGAAATTCGAATTCTGAATTGATTTCAAATTTTGGATTTCAATTTTAAATTTCAAATTGTAATGATGGGAAAGGATTTGGAAATAAAAAATTAAATAGATAATAATTTCTTTTAAAAATCGAAATAAAAAATCAATGAAAAATTAAGTTAATCATTTATAGTGGTAGACAACTCATTCAATGTCCCACTGATTTGTATATTAAATGCTTTCTACATTGAAATTGTTTACTCTTTTGAATTTCGAATTCTGAATTGAATTCAAATTTTGGATTTCAATTTTAAATTTCAAACTGTAATTGTGGGAAAGGATTTGGAAATAAAAAATTAAATAATTAATAATTTCTTTTAAATAAATCAATGGAAAATTAAGTTAATCATTTATGGTGGCAGACAACTCATTCAATGTCACACAGATTTGTACATTGGAATTACTCAGCTCTTTTAAATGCTTTCTACACTGGAATTGCTCACTCTTTTGAAATTCGAATTTTGAATTGATTTCAAATTTTGGATTTCAAATTTTGGATTTCAAATTGGAATGGTGGGAAAGGATTTGGAAATAAAAAATTAAATAAATAATAATTTCTTTTAAAAATCGAAATAAAATATAATGAAAAATTAAGTTAATCATTTATGGTGGCAGACAACTCATTCAATGTCTTCCTGATTTGTACATTTGAATTACTCAGCTCTTTTAAATGCTTTCTATATTGGAATTGCTCACTCTTTTGAAATTCAAATTCTGAATTGATTTCAAATTTTGGATTTCAATTTTAAATTTCAAATTTGAATGGTGGGAAAGGATTTGGAAAGAAAAAATTATATAAATAATAATTTATTTTAAAATTCAAAATAAAAAATCAATGAAAAATTAAGTTAATCATTTGTTAAGGCAGACAACTCATTTAATGTCCCACTACTTTTTTGTTGTTGTATATTATGAGTAAAAAAGACCTATACTTTTCTTTTGTTGTATATCCACTTTTTTTTACATGGATAATTGTTAGCCCTATTAATGCTGAATAAAAAAAAAAACCATTAAAAAAATTGTAAAATAACAAAATTATTTATATTGTAAAATAAATTTGAAATTTGAAAATAAATTAAATGAAAAATTATGTGAACTTGATATGCGGGAAAAGAGTTCAGCATTTAATATTTATGCAGTGGAAAAAGATATATATAATAAATTTGAATTTAATATAAAACTATAGATTAAACAATAAAATATTTAAAATTATAAAAAAACATTTATAGTCGATAAAAAATTTAAAAAAATTCAAATTTAAAAGGAAAAATAAAAAATGGCATAATTAATCCTTTACAAAAAATAAATTAAAATTCTAACATATATTTTTTAAATATACATGTATAACCAATTAAAATAATATACATGTATTTTTAAAAAAATTAATTAACATAAAAATTTTAATATACATGTATAACCAATTAAAAAAAATATATAGAAATCATAAATTAAAATAGAAAAAAATTATATAAAAGAATATGTATAATTAATATAAAAATATTTAAATTTTAAATTCAAATAAAAAATGACGTCTGTCACTCTGTAAAAAAAAATTGTTAAAATTTAAGAACTATAAAAATTAAAATTTTAATTTAGAACATAAGAAAGAAATTAAATTTTTTTTTTTTTTATTTTATAAACAAACTTCTTCTTTTTTATTGCAGAGTGTAATAACACAAATACTTGCAAAAAATAATTATTTATATAAAATGCTGACAGTTAGAGATGGAAAATTGGGCTCGGCCCGGAGGGCCGGGACCGCCAATATATTTTTATAATTCAATTGAAATTT